GAGGAGGCCATAATTCAAGGAAGCTATAATTGGTGTTAAGTTTGGTGTTAAGTTTGGTGGAATGTTTGGTTCCTCTTGCATGTCTGGCTGCTGCATTCTGCATAAGCTCATCTCAAAAGAGCCCCACTAGGAGTTAATTGCAGTAATCTAGTTTAGAGATCACCAGAGCATAGATCACTGATAGCAGACTATCTCTGTATAGAGAGGGATGTAGCTGAGCTACCAGCCAAAGCTGATACAGGGCACTCTGAGCCATTGAAGCCACCTGGCCCCCAAATGGCAAAGATGGCTCAATGAGATCGCCCAAGCTACAACCATGTTCCTTCAAGGGGAGTGAAAACCCATCTAGAACAAGTTGGTCCCTCCATTTGGTCAGAATAACCACCTGCTAATAGCATCTCAGTCTTGTCTGGAATGAGCTTCAGTTTGTTTGCCCTCATCCAGTCCATTTGCACCAGTTTAGCCCAACCACAGCCTCATCTGCTGAAGATGAAAAGGAAAGATAGAGCTGTGTGTCATCAGCATATTGATGACAATGCACTCCAAAATGCTGGATGACTTCACTCAGTGGTTTCATGTAGATGTTAATAACATGGGGGACAAGAATGAAGCCTGAGGAACCCCATACTGAAGGATCCAAGAGGCAGAGCAATATCACCCAGGCACCACCTTCTGAAGCTTACCATCCAGGTAGAAGCAGAACCACTGCAATGCAGTGCCTCTCACACTCATCTCAGACAGTCACCCTGGAAGAAGGATACCATGGTCAGAAGTATCAAAAGGTGCTGAGAAGTCCAGGAGAACCAACAGGTCACATTCCCCTGTGTCTGTCTTGGCATAGGTAATCATACAGGACAGCCAAAGCTGTTTCTGGGCCAAAACCAGGCCTGAACCCCAACTGAAATAGATCCAGCTAATCAGCCTCATCGAAGAGTTTCTTTCTCCCTTTGCCACTTTGAAGATGATAAAGGGGGAAACAAGAAGAAAAGGAGATAATGGAATAGAGAAAAAATGTTTAAATTACCCAATCCCCCACTCTCCAATGCCCAAATTAAAAACACAGAAAAATGTAATTCCTTCACTTTTCAACCTGTACATGGGAAGGCAAAAAAACCTGCATCAGTTGAAAAAACTGAAACAATCAGTTCCCAAGCAATGCTATTTCTTCTTTCTTTCCAAAATCACATGCGAGTGCCTGTGTGGGCATGGGGCAACTATATAATGACCCCTAGAAGCATTCCCCCCTTGAATTTTACACATTTTTTACATTTAGCCAGGACTGAATTGACATTGTTACTACTCGATGTACTCTAAATTGTGAAAAATGCAAAATATTTTATTGTGGCAGAAAAGTTTAATAAAAGCAAACTGGCACTTGTTGTTTGTTCAAAGTGTTCACCTCCCTCAGGTTTGCTGGATACAATTGGTAAACAGCAGCTTCCAAGTTTTGCTACAAATTCTCAACTGGCTTGTGAGCTGCACTTTGATCAAACATTCTAAATCAGGGGTCTCAAACTCAACTTACCTGGGGGCCGCCGGTGCTTTGAAGGCCGCAGGGCCCCTCCCCCGTGCCCTGCCTGTCCCAGCAATTGGCCCGCGGGCCGCGAGTTTGAGACCCCTGTTCTAAAACATCAAGCTCTTGTTTTTAAACCACTCCAGTCTTTGGCTGTATATTTAGGGTCATTGTAGTGCTGGAAAATGAACCTCCACTCCCATCTTAGATCCCTCACAGACTGAAATGGGATTTCCTAAGAATTGCCTGTATTTGGTTCCATTCATCTTGCTCTCAATCCTTCCAGAGGAAATACGTATCTACAAGATGAAACTCCCACCACCATGCTTCTTCGTGAGGATGATGTTCTTGGGACAAAGATTACTGCTGGTTTTGTGGTATACACAGCATTTTTCAGTGAAGCAAAGAAAAAATCATTCTTACTCTCGTCAGATCACATAAACTTTTTCCTTGCTGTGTCTCCCACATGACCTTTTGCAAATTCCATGGACTTTGATATAGGTTTGTTTCAACAATTCCTTTCTTTTCTCTACTCTTCCATAAAGCCCAACTTTGTGGAGAGTCCAGGTAACAGATGTCCCATAAATGGTTCCTCTTATCTCAGCTGCAGATCTTTCTAGCTGCTTCACAGTTACCATTTCCTGATTAATAGCATCCTTACTCAATCACTGATTTTGGGAGATGGCCTTTTCTAAGTAGAGGGAGTTAGGCTATATTCTTTCCATTTGTAATAACAGATTTTCTGGTGCTCAGGGGGGTGTTCACAGTTTGTTGGTTTGTTAGCTTGTTTTATAACCCAACCCTGATTGCTGCTTCTGTAAACTTTATTCCAGAGTACTTTTGATGGCTCATTAGTTTTCATCAAGCTGTTTGTTTAGATATGCTCTCCAACAAACTCTGGGGCCTAACGGAAAAAGGTGTATTTAATCTGAGATCATGTGACACTGGAATTTCATACAGGTAGAATTCATTTCAATTCCAGTTTGCAACACAACCAAATGTGCAACAGTCAAAGAGGGGTGTGTGGGGGTGGGCCGGGGGGAGAGAATACTTCTGTAAGACACTATCTTCTTTGTCCTGGAACTCCTGCCCTCAGTATGGCTTATTAGTACAAACACATGCACTTCTCAATAGAGATGATTACTGAAGCGATTCTGCTCTTGGCTGCAATATAATATATGGTTGGGAGGCTTATTAAATTGAACATTTGGGACAGACCACAGGCAGCAGAACTACTCAATTTAAAATTCCTGGTTATAGAAAACTCTGCTGAAAATTCAGTAACACATTTCTCATTGAACTGAAAACTACTGTTAGACAGAAATGTTTCAGACTGCTCATCCATTTCTCCAAAATTCTGAAGAAACATTTAAAACAATGTAATTATTTTTTTGGTTTTATATTACTCATCTCCCATTTCAACCCTGTAATGAAGGATTGTAAAAAGATACACCCTGGGTAATATGGAAAGAACTGAAGCAAGCCATAGCAATGGGCTTCATTGTAATGTTTTGCCTTCCTCTCTACCAAAGTTTTATCTCAGTCTCTTAAGCAATATTTTAGTCTGAATTTAGTGCTGATCTCTACCTAACAGAATGACAATACTCCATAATAATTTGTACTCTTTCAAATCACTGAAGGATTTCACAACTTGCAAGTTTAACCATACACACACACATAATAATAATTTGCCTGTCTTAATAATAATTAAGACAGGCAAATACAACAGGCAAAACATTGGAAAATGGTGTAAAATACCCTGGAAAAAACCTGTACCATTTTAAGGACAAAAATAGAGTTCACACAGTTTCAGTCAATTCAGTGTCAGACTGCTAGATGCTTACTCGACTTGAACATTGCCATTCTACCAAGAAAAACAGAACTCAAGGTAGCTTGCAATCATAAATAAGACCTGATTAGAACAATGCATTGAAATACAATAAAACATAACAAAATAAAAACAGCATTTGAACCAACCTATTTAGCCACCAGAGACCTTCTTGGAGACAGAGGTCTTTGCCTACTGATGGAAGGACAAGAGAGAGGGAAGAAACATTTTGATACACGTAGTCTAACTACTAGCTTCTGATGTTCCCTATCTAGCTATTTTACATAAGTTATTTCTCATGGAAATGAGTTTTCATCACTTTCCTTTGTTTTTCTCTTATTGCTATGAAAGCTAGAGTTAAGAGCCACAAAAACCTGAATATGCCAAACTCATTTCTACACCAACTATATTTAAATGCTTTCCTATACTATCTCTTATGAGTTGCTATTTGTGTTAACATTTCTTTTCTAAGAATGGGATTTAAGGAAATAATGAGAACAAGACTATGCCACTTTTGCATATAACAACCTCACGTGCTCAGAGTGTTTCAGTATGCTATTTTGCTATAATAACTTGCAATCTTGCATGGTGCATTAGCAATGTTCTCCCCATATTGCAGTTGGGAGACTGAGGCAGTAAGAGAGTATATTGCCCAAGGCCACTTCAAAACAGGTGTTTCTTGATTTCTAGCTCAGTCTCATCAGTATGCCATGATAAAAGATGTAATCCACATTCCATCACCCTTCCATTATTTCATTATTAGTAAGAGCTTGGATTTTAATGTGTAATAAAGACCTCACTTGACCTTTCTAACCCAGAGTGGGAATCTTGTGGCCCTCCATACGTTTTGGTTTATAATGGGGTGGCCAGATTTGCTCACATACAGTAAATGTCAGAGCCACAAGCAAGTTCTTGTGGGCAGCAGCAGTGGCAAGCAGGTGCCTGCAGGCATCTGCAACAGCAAGCTGCAAAATAAACTCAAAAAGCTGCATGCATCTCCCAAGCCTCAGTTTGGCCACCCGTGGTCTATAACTTCCATCAGCCCTAGCAAGCATAGCCAATACCCTGCACTAGCCACTATGATTATTCTTCAAGTCACCAGAACCACATCCACCATTGAGACAGAAACTGCATGTGGAGCAACCATAACATATCACTATACTTCTCCAAGCAAGGAAACTTTGTATTACATGACTGAGGCTGCTACCTTAGTATTTTCTTGCCCTCCCTTACCTAAAATAAGGCAGGACACATGCAGCTGCAGTACATTCAGCAGAAAAGTCAGGATGCTTACCTGTAACTGTCATTCTTCGAGTGGTCATCTGTGCAGTCACACATAATGGGTACTGCGCCTGCACAGTGCCTGTTGTCGGCCAGAATACCAAAGCTACAACGGTTTTTGGCGGGAACTCCGCACCCCTCCCCGCTGGTGCTATATAGGGCGAAGCGCCCACCATTTTCCTCAGTCTCTGAAGACCGGCAGATCGCCCCCTAGCGGAGCATGCCATCAAATAGAGGAGTCGATAGAGACTACCATCCCATCCCTCGACACTGAGTGGGGCCGGAGGGCGGGTTGACAGTTACACGTAAGCAACCCGACTTTCTTCTTTGTGGTCTCTGTGCATCACACATAATGGGTGATTAGCAAGCTTCACTCACCAGAGGTAAGTCAGTGTTGTCAGTGAAGAATGGATGAAAGGACAGCCCATCCAAAGGAGCAATCGAATGTCCAACCTGTAGTGCCTAGTGAAGGTACAGAGAGTTGTCCATGTGGCGGCTTTACAAATGTCCAGCAGTGGAACGCCCGATGAAAAAGCCAAGGAAGCCACCATGGCTCTAGTAGAATGACCCTTAGGGGCAACCGGAAGATCTATCTTGGCTAGTTGGTAAGCAAGCTCAATAGTCTAGACTATCCATTTTGATAGCCTCTGGGCAGAGAGAGCAGCACCCTTGCCAAGTTTGGAGTATTTAACAAATAGGCATTTGGTTTTTTGGAAACTCTCTGTGCATGCCCGATAGAAGGCTAGGCATCGACGCACATCAAGGGAATGGAGAGATTTCTCTATCGGGGTGGATGGGGAAGGGAAGAATGCTGGAAGCACAATGTCCTGGTTAATATGAAATGCTGTGGCCACCTTAGGAAGAAATGCCGAATCTGTACGCAGAACTACCTTCTCCTTGTGGAAGTTAAGGTATGGTGGGTCCACGCGGAGGGCAGAGAGTTCGCTTGCCCTTCTCGCCAAGGTTATGGCGACCAAGAAGGCCACCTTCCAAGAGAGTAATCTTAAATCTGTCATCGCAAGGTGTTCGAAAGGAGCTTTGGTGAGTGCATGGAGAACCACTGATAGACTCCAAGTCGGTACCGATGGTCAGGTTGGAGGGTGGAGATTTTGTAGTCCCTTGAGGAAGCACCGAATGAGCGTATGAGAAAACACAGATGAACCGGACAGAGGGCCACAAAAGTGGGATATAGCTGCAATGTACACCTTGACAGAGGTAGGCTTAAGTCCAGAATGGTGCAAGGAGAGCAAGAAAGAAAGGATGCTATTGATGGAAGCCAATTGAGGAGCAAAGTGGTTGGCCTCCGCAAAAGTGGTAAAACGCTTCCACTTTGCCTGATACGACCGACGAGTGGATGGTCGAAGAGCGGACTGTAGTCTGAACTCGATTTCGTGTTGAGATGGTGCAGCTTCGGAGGAGACTCGAGTGAGGTCCTTTGGTACCGAATGACACTCTGATGTGGAAACCGAAGTATTTTGTTGAAGTCTAGGAGGGTTAGCAGAGGCAGTTAGTGCAGGAGCCACGTGGTAAGGTTGAGGGTATCGAGGTCGGGATGAAGACTCATCCCTCTCCCCTGTGTAATCAGATGAGGAATCTGTGGCAGACAAAAGAACATGTGTCGTAACAATTTGAGAGCGGTCGAGAACCAGGGTTGACATGGCCACTATGGTGTAATGAGGATGACCTGTGCTCAGTCCTGAGCAGCCTTCTCCAGGGTGCGGGTAATTAACGGGATTGGAAGAAAGGCGTACAGGAAGGAATCTGACCAACTCACCATCAAGGCGTCTCCTTGTGAGTTCGGACCTGATCCCGCCCTGGAGCAATAGGTCGCGCAGTTCGAATTGGAAGCTGTTGCAAACAGGTCCAATATTGGGGTGCCCCAACGGGCGAACAAGTCTTTGCAAACTTGGTTGTCCAATTCCCACTCGTGGGTTGATTACATCTTCCTACTTAGAATGTCTGCTTCTTGGTTGTCTACTCCCGCCAGATGGATTGCCATGAGTGAAATCCCTCTGGGGATACACCAGTCCCAAATTTGTAGGGCTAGAAGAGCCAACGGTACCAATTTTGTACTGCCCTGTTTGTTCAGGTAGAAGACAGTAACTGTATTGTCGGAGGCCACCTGTACCGAGCGGTTCCATAGCATAGGCTCGAATTAGCGTAGTGCCTTGAATACTGCCAGCAACTTGAGAAAGTTGATGTGATTGGACCTCTTGTGTGCTTGCCAGGTGCCCTGTGTCTGCAGGATGGAACAATGCGCTCCCCAACCTGTGAGAGACACGTCGGTATGGAGCAAAATGGAAGGTTGTCGCTAGTGAAATGAAACGCCAACGGCGTGATTGTCGGGGTTCATACACCAAGTCAGAGTCTGGCGAACCGAGGTGGGGGGTGGGGGAGAAGTCACCCCGGGGAATCGCAGAGGGGCTGGAACACAGCATTGAACCACAGCTGAAGTGGTCACATTCATAGTCTGGCATTCAGAACAACCATGATTGTCAAAGCCATATGGCCCAGAAGCTTTTGGATAATCAGTGCTCGAACTCGTCCGCCTTCCTGAACCTGCCTGACTACGGAACAGAGTCTTTCCATTCGGGTCCGTGGTAAGAATGCTCGCGCCCGGACCGAATTGATTTGTGCCCTGATGAACTCAATGACCTGTAAAGGAGTGAGACAGGATTTTTCAGTATTAATAAGAAGCCCTAAGTCCTCCAGGAGGGTGCACGTAATGTCAATGTCTGTAACAAGTCGGTCCCGGGAAGAAGAGACGATGAGCCAATCGTCCAAATATGGATAAATTTGAACACCTTGTTGACGAAGGTGAGCACATACCAGAGCCATGCACTTGGTAACTACCCTAGGGGCTGTAGCAAGTCCGAAGGGGAGGACATTATATTCAAAAATGTCAGGGCCAACAGTAAAACAGAGAAACTTCCTATAATACGGATGGATACCAATATGAAAATAGGCATTCCTTAGATCAATGGACGTGAACTAATCATCTCTCTCTAGCAGAGGTAGGATGTTTTGTAAGGTGCATATGAAAAGTGTAAGGTGCATACGAAATTTCTTAGTCGTAATAAAGGCATTGACGCCCCTTAGATCAAGTATGGGGCGTAGGCCACCATCCCACTTTGGTACCGTAAAATACCTGGAGTAGAATCCGCAGAGCCCATCGGAATGGGAGATTCGGAGGATTGCTCCCTTATGGAGTAGCTGGGATACTTCTTCTCTAAGAATTTCTGATGGGGCGGTATGTAATATCGGTCCTGAAAGGGGTATGACACTGAACTCGATTCTATATCCAAATTCAATGATGGAAAAGACCCATTTGTCAGATGTGATGGTCTCCCAAAAAGGGAGTCGGCTTTGTAGGCAGCCCCCATAGGGAGGGGGGAAGGGTGTAGGAGAGATAGGATCAGTTTGTGGGACCCCTCAACGTTGCCTCTTATCAGCGGGTTGGCGGCGGCAGCCCTGTTGATATTGGGTGGCCAGTTGCATGCGGTTTCGTTGTTGCCGCTGGGGGAATTGTTGGCGTGGCTGGTAACGGTGGTAGGGTTGATATCTTGCGTAGCGAGATTGATGCCACTTATGACGGGTCGAGCCTGGGATTTCCATCTTCCAAGGGTAGCCCAAGCGTTATAAATATGCTCAAGCTTGTGGTCGGTCTGGTCGTGGAAGAGACCTGATCCGTCGAAAGGCATCCCCTCGATCCGTCGCTTGGTTTCCTCCGGAAAATTACAGGAGTGCAGCCAGGCATGCCTTTGGAGAGCAACAGAGCCAACCAGAGCATGGGAATCACAGTCGACATGATGGCAGGCTGCAGTGAGCTGTTGAATAGCGAGCTACATAGCCTCTCTTATGAAAACCCAGGCCAGGTCATGCTGTTGCTCCAGGATGGACGAGGTGATCAAATCCAACCGCTGCATCAGAAAATACTGATACCTCGCCATCGTCACCTCATAATTGGAAATTCTCAGGCCCAGTCCCTTAGCCGCATAGATTCGCTGCGCCATGAGGTCAATTTTTCTGCCCTCCTTGTCCCTAGGAGCTGAGTGTTCCCTCTTGTCTTGCCCCTGGGAAGACTTGACCACAATAGAGTTGGGCTTCGGATGTTTTAGAAGGAAGGGAATATCTTGCTCTCTAACTTTGTACATGGATTCATACCTCCTAGATGTTGATTGAGGCTGGTCAGGAGAAGTCCATGTATCCTCCATAACCTCCCGTAGGATTATAATTAACGGAATGGTAATGGTGGATGATTGTTCTTTACGGACAATATCATAGAAATTGTCCTTGTTAATGTTGGGCTGGTGCTCAACTTCAATCTCAAGGCTCGAGTTAAGCGGCCCATAAGTTCGCCAAAGGTAGCATAGGATTCTTCAGGCGACCCAGGTCCATGGGTGGAGATGACTGCCGTGGGAGACTTAGAACACTCATCCGAGTCCTCAGAGTCCGAGTCATAGAGGCATGGTGGACTGGAGGATGATTGAGCCGGAGAAGGAGGATGGCGAGGGGTCGTCAGCACCGAAGTGGAAGGAGCTTCAGCCCTTGTCGATCCAGAGTGATGTCTGTGTTCCCTTGGTAGGTAGTAGCTGTATGGGGATAGATGTCCCCAATAGTGAGGTTGTGAAACTTCCAGGCCTTCATAAGGCATTGGGACCCACGATCTGGCGGATTGACCAGATGAGCGGTGGTGCTGGTGGGTTCGACCACCATGGTCCTCCGGGGAGCCTCCAGAGAAGATGGCATCGGAGTTGGAGAGCGAGCCGGTTGATGGCACGGCAGTGACTGTGGAGGAGAGTCTTGGATCTCTCCATCCGACATCGACCCATGAACGACAGGTTCGGGTGGATGTAACATCGTCGGGACCGCAGGCTCAACCCTTTGTGGAGGATCCGGGTGGCGTAACCTACATCAACGCCCTTGGTGTCGGTGCCAAGGGTGTCGGGATTGATGGTGCCGTCTGGACTGACAGGGCGGTCAAGTCTGAGTCTCTCCATGGTTCTGGAGCAAGTCTATGCTTCCAGCAAGCTTTGCCCGACTTATCTTTTTTGGCCTTCTTCAGGACCAACAGATCCCCGTGGTCAGAATGCTTCCATTTCTCCTTTTGTTTGAACGAAGAATGGGAGGAGTGAGAGGTCTTCTCGGAAGCAACTCCCCCGGATGGTGGGCAAGGGGAGGTCACCATAGAAGGGCCGGCTGACACAGGCTGGGCGGCAAGGTCGTCGGAAGCTAGTAAGGCCTGATCCCAAAGGAACTTTCTCAGCCTGTTCTCTCAGTTTTTCCTGGCCTGTTTTGTGAAGGCCTGGTAGTGCCCACATTTGTCAGTGCGATGCCCCTCTCCCAAGCAGAGGAGGCAGAGCTCATGTGGGTCCGCTGGGGACATTTCAAACACTTTCAAAAAGCCGCACACTGAGCCATCGAGAAGGTAAGAAGAGAGATAGTAAAAGGTAAGAAAAAGGAAAGAGAATTAAACAGGAAACAAGGGGAAAAAAACTTGGATAGATTCAACTGGAAAGTTTTAAGAGAACAACAATCAAGTGCGAGAAGACAAAGTAATGGCTTGAGGCAATGCGATCAATGGTTGAAAGAAGACTGAGGAAAATGGCAGGCGCTCCACCCTATATAGCACCAGGGGGGAGGGGTGTGGAGTTCCCGCCAAAAACCACTGTAGCTTTGGTATTCTGGCTGACAACAGGCACTGTGCAGGCGCAGTACCCGTTATGTGTGATGCACAGAGACCACGAAGAAGAACACGGCAGTTCACAATGGCTTCCATGGCTGTGTCCTTCTCTGGACAGTGACCAACAAGACCCATTCTTGAGTGATATCTATGTTCTAGCTTTTTCCCACTCCCAGTTATTGGGTTTTAAAGCCAGAAGCCCAAGAAGAACAGCTCTGAGGAAAATCACCCTATAGTATGCTTTCACAGTACAGGATTGGCTGATAGCTACCAATGAAGATTCCCTCAATGGCCTACATAATACAGAAAGGAAGCCACTGCAACATCATCCACATTTCAATGACATAACACTAACAAGAGTGAACTATTTAGATCCCTCCACCTTAGAATTTGGATGGGCAGCCACAGTCTTTACAGCTGCACTCACAGAAGAAAGGTAAGAACATAAGAACCATGCTGGATGAGATCAAAGGTCCATCTAGTCCAGCATTCTGCCACAGAGTAGCGGACAAGTAGGATATGAGTACAAGAAACCTATGAGTAGCTGGGGAAATTTGAGAGAGGGCAAGAACAGATAACGAGCTAAGGTTCAGAAAACCCAATCTGAAAGAGTATGACTGTTTTCATGTAACTGAAATGGATTAAAACTATAACTTTTAGGCAAAGCTAAAAATATGCAAACATGAGACCATTGGTCCACTCAAAACCTACCTACCACAGGCTGATGACCCCTCCCCTAAGGGATCTTTAGCTTGGAAACTGCTATAATGTGTCAAGAGTAGATTTTTAAAGTACACATGATCGTTTACTATAACAGAATATTAGAACTAAATGATTAGCAAAGTTAAATAAAGCAAAGTTTATACATTTTTCCACACCTTCAAGACCAACAATGGGTCCTTATGCAAAGATCAACATATATAGAGTTTACTGTTAAATTTTAAAACTATGCAATACTATAGCAATACTAACATAAACCTATTTCCTGTTATTTTAATTCCAAAAAAATAAATTTTCAAAAGGAATTATACAGCTCCTCCTCTCTTAACATGGAAAGGTAAGTGTTAGGATACATTTCATGTACAAAGTGACCTTGAGAAATGAACACCCAGAGCTTCCGGAACTGCTCCTTCCATGACCACGCTAAGTCATTTCTTGTGCAGCAAGCCACTGAGTAGCCATCCAACCTAAGGAGGACTTCCTCCCTGTATATGAATTGCTCCTGTTGAAACTAAATCTATTGATTTGAACTGGGGTAGAAATTCAGAACCAGCCCATATCGCATGTATGATGTGATCATTGCTTGGAAGGAAGGATCAATAATTGAACGGGATGGGTCCTGGAGGTCAGGATGATGCTCGAAGTAGGGATGTGTGAGAAATCCATTTTGGGGGTGAGATTCCACTGGGTTTGACTCCTTGAACTCAGATCTGCTTTGATGTGGCTCTGAGTCCAAGTTTCTGATGAGCATGCCCAGTGTTCATGAAACGGGAACAAGAGCCTTGTGTGGATGGTGCACAAGCAGTGCCCCTCTTTGTGCTACTGCATGTGATAGGGGAGAAGACATCTGGTTGCATAAAACCTTCATTCTGCAAGCATTCATAGACTTTTTTTTGGAAAGCACAAGAGATTCTAACAAGCTTCAGTATATGCCTAATTGGAAAGAACTAAGTTCAGTGCAGTACTCCAGGAATTATTGTCAAAAAGCTGTAACAGAACTGTACACTTGCACCTCAAAACCCATGCAAAGAAGGACATCATAATTATGCTGCCATGTTCATAATTGATCTTTAAATGAATTCATTTTAATATTGTTAAGTTTTATCAGTAGTTTTGCTACACATCTAGAGAATAAATATTATGATTCTCACTAGTTCAAAGAGCTGTTGTTTGCAGATGAATGGTTTAACCTCTTCATTCAATTAAAATCTTATTCTACTATAGGTATTGCTGGACAGATTTCTTAGCCACTGGCTGACAAAAGCAAGTTTTGTTCACAGATGTTACATGGCTACATGGCTTTACACAGCATCTCTGTTAACTCAGAAAATGGGTATAATTTCAGGTTCAAAAGTGTGCAAAAAAAGAGCTGTGATTAGCACTATATTTCAATCTACCTGTATAATGTCCAAGCATGCTTCCCAATTTTCTCGTTAATTATTTCTTTATCAGGCAACACACAGAGTTAACAAGAGAGCACTTAGTTACAGAGTTAGCATAGCATAACAACCATGCAGTCAAATAAACAGAAACTGGAAGGAGAAGATAGAGAATTTGAAGCTTCCTTTATAGATGTATCCTAGAAATAAATTCTTTAGTTCTTGAACACGGAATACCATCCAAGCATTTGAGGGATATGCAACTCACTTTCATTTAGCTTATCCTTTGTAGTCATTAAAAAATCTTCTAAAAAGTCAAGTCTACTAAGTCAGGGGTATATTTCAATGCCCCTAGAAGCAGAGCTGACAAAACTGAGGCTGTCATACTTTGGATACATCAGGAGAAGGAAAAATTTACTGGAGAAGACTATGATGGTGGGGAACATCAAAGGCAGATGATGAAAAGGAAGACCAAATAAGGAAACCGCAGCCTTGAATTTAGAACAGCTAGGCAGGAATGTCATGGATAGGACATTTTGGACAGTTCTCATTCATAGGGTCATCCTAAGTCAGAGACAACTTGACAGCACATAACACCGCCACTGCCACTACCATCTTTCAGTAAGATGAGCTGAGGGGGTGGGGGGAGATACAGTGTTAGGTATCACTTTGACATAGTTTGAGTAATAGTAACAAACTAGAAAACTAGAAAAACAAGAACATTTCTGCAGATCAAAATCTGTGGTAGACTTGGTGCCCCAATGATAATCTATTCTAAATTTATGTTCAAACAAGTCAAGATACATTTCCAAAAGCTCTTTTCAATCCTATTCACTTCCTGCTAGCATGCTAGACATATATGAAAATGGAAGTCCTCTTAGTTTTGGCATCAAACCATACACAAGAAAGTGTTCATTGTCTAGACATTTCCAAGACAACAAATAAGTTTTGTGAACCATTAAAAATAGGTAACATAGTGTTAACATGCAACACCCTAATTCATCACATGTCATTCTCCAAGAATTTATTCAAGCTGATAGTTACTTCGATCATGTGTTTTAGGAACAGGGCAAACTCTGTTGATACACATCAGTCATGCTATGCAAACAATATATAAATGCAATACATATTCTATTCACATAATTATAATTGATTATCACATAAAGCTAAAAAATTCTAAACAGTTTTATGAAACAAGATAGGGTGGCTTAGTGAATAGTCTCTGTTCTAGTGCCTCTTCAGCTGATTCACAAATTTGCACTACTTATAAAAATCAAAGCATGTTCTAATGCCTACAGGTGTTCCCCTAATATGTCTGCCATTTAACATCAAATAGGAAATAAAAAATAACAGCCACTATAAACAGAATCAGAAATGTCATTCCAGTTCATGTCAATTGTTAAAATTAGTATCCTGGACAGGAAAACAAGAAAATACAGATATTTTTCCCTGTATCACTATACTTACAAACTGTTTACAAAGAATCTAAATCTCCTTTTTAAATTACACTTGGAATATCAATGCATGAAGTATTTACATACCTTGCTTTTTTGTTGGCCTTGGGTTTTGGTGTGGTGTTTTTTGCTTTTTTCTCCTTTGGCTCTTTAGGGGTCTTGGGGGTTTTGGGAGTCTTGGTTTCCTTCGGCTCCTTCTTCTCCTTGGGTTCTTTTGGATCCTTCGGATCTTTTTTCACCTTAGGTTTTTTCTTTTTCTTCTTCTCTTCCTGGGAACATTCTAGTGATTTCCTGGTAGGATCCTGACTATCAAGCCCACCAGGAAAACCCTCCTTATCAAATCCTTTATGGGATCCTTCGGGAATAATATGATTGTTTTTCTTTTTCTTTTTCTTTTGTTGTGACTGTTGCTCAATTGATGGAAGGTAATCATCACTTTTCAGTAGCTGGGCATTCGGTCCACTAACCTGAGTCATGTCTGGCACTGGTTTTTCTAAGAAGGGTTCTGATGGAGAATGCTAGGAGAGAGAAAAGGCATTAAATTAATACACATGTCAAAATCTTAGGCATTTATTACTTTTAATAGAATGTTGCATTTTTTCAGGGTATTAACCATAATTATTTGGAAAACAACATTAATCCCTAAAATTTGGAATATGAAGGTGTTGGTGGTGACCTATAAAGCCCTAAACGGCTTGGGTCCTGGTTACCTGAAGAAGCGCTTACATCCATATATGCCTGGCTGCCCCTTGAGATTTGCGGGAGAGGCCCTTCTCCGGGAACCCTCCGTGAAAGAAATTAGGAGGGTGGGTACTCGGAGGAGGGCTTTCTCTGCGGTGGCACCCAATCTATGGAATGCGCTCACCAAAGAGGTCCGCCTGGCGCTGTCGTTATTTGTTTTTCAGCGCCAGGCGAAGACCTTTTTATTTAAGTGTCATTTTAATTGTTAACAATATTTGCTTATTTATCTGGCCACGGTGACTTCTTTTATATTGTTATTTCTTTTATATTGCTAATTTTATATTGTTATTTTTGTATTTTATTGTATTTTATTTTGTGTTGTGTTGTGAGCCGCCCCGAGGCTTCGGCAAGGGGCGGCATAGAAATGTTTTAATAAATAAATAAAATAAATAAGGTTAAATATACAAGATATCAGCCTATTAAGAAAATAGACGTTTTTGATTTATTTAAATGGAAACCCCCATATTAGAAACTAGAAATGAAGCATTGCTTTTGTTATAACATGCACTACAAAACAATACACAGGGCTATGGGGTACATAAGGTGACTAATACTCTGACATGTTCAGTCAAATAAAATGAGATTGGAAGTAACAATGATGTGTAAGATACTACCCTAATACATGTACTTAGCTTTTTTCTGCAGATACTGGGATTATCAAGATACAGAATGATCTATTTACTGCTTTATTAAAATTAAATAAAGCCTGATAAGGAATTGTATGGACCTGTTTGTTACTAGCATATTAGTCACTGAAGGAGCAGGTAAGATGCTATGAACCAAGCCTTGGAGGAGGGGGGGACATGAGTGTTATATTAACCAATGCAAGAGAACTACTAATGCAATTTTGAATATATATTCTTCTTTAAAAGTTATATATAATTATAATGCCAATCAAAGTAGTTTAATCAAGTGCTATTTACAGTGCTGTCCACAGTAGGCCCAAAAGACATTGGCCATTCTGCAGGTTTCGGGGCACTAATCTGTCTTTATGCATATTAATCAATTAAGCAGCCGCCGCCGCCACCACCACCATTATTATTTTGCTTGCTATACATGTATCACAATCGTATGACCTTTTCTAATTTGTCATGTTACTCAAGTCAGGCAACATCACTCTTACTCTTCGTTACCTCTGCTTGGCTTTTAATTTTCATTCCAGTCTTATTTAAATGTCATGTTTTTTCTTTCCTCATCATGGCAAGGATTTTTGTTGAGAGGGTTAAACTATGGCTAACAAATCTGCAATTATTTGTGACGTTTTATTTTAGAAACATTGTATTTTTTATTCTCAATATTTAGTTATCCTGCTTTGGACAAACATACAAGTTGTTTGTTAACGTACAGCCTTTCTTCCAATGTATTCAATGTAGTTTACAATAAGAAATACTACATCAAACAAACAAGCAAAGCTCCAGCAGACAAAATAATAAAACTGCAATATTCTATCAAGATACTAGAGGTCTCTTTAGAAGTTTCTAGCAAGCCTTCTCTGTCTTAGGATTCTTTTCTTCTGTCTTCCATGCATCACAGATATTCAAGCGTCTCCCACAGAAGACAAAAAGTGGACTGTCTTAGTTGTGTTCTGTCAGGTCACTGATGATTCAGGAGCTGATAGCATGAATTCCTTGGCCTGGCCATGCATACAAGAGGAGGAAAACTTGCCTGTCAGCTATCAGATGTTTTATTTATATTATATTATATTATATTATATTATATTATATTATATTATGTTTGTATCAAGCAAGCAAGAGCATGCTTGCTGTGGATGTAGGAAAATCAAATGTGTAGGCTAAATCTACAAAATTTAGTTTACATGCAATTAGAGCCTCCATGGATTGTTATTTTCCCAAACAATCTGCACAGAAAAGTGATACCAACATGTAGGAAACTGGTGGAACTGGAAGTGACACAGTCACAGACCCACTCTACAATTGCATGTATCATGTAAGTTTGTTTAAATCAGTACTGTTTAGTATATTATCAGCTAGCCCTAACCTGCCAATAGTTTCTTACACATCCACTGCTTCCTGAGAGTAAGAAGTTTTGTTTTCTTTGTGTTCTGTCCTATCACAGACTTTGTGCCTTCTCACATTCCTCTTTTGACGTACCACCTGGCTTTTCTTCACTAATTTTCACTTTGTCATTATAACAACTTTTGCCTTTTAAAGCAATGATTCATAATCTTGATGAATAAACTATAAAGAAAATGAAGCATATAGATTAAAACACAGCAATGAATTAATCCTGCTTATTATGCACTAAGATTATCTTGTGTTGAATCTGAGAGGTGAAAGGTGTTTAGAAATATTTCAGTATATATGAGACTATCATGTTCCTAAGTCTTTTAGGGAAAAAAGTTGTTTCAGTAAACATTTAACAAAAACAGATGGCCTCTTTTAATCATGTGAAAAAGTCTGGGGTTCACATTAGTGCCTATATAGCAGACTACTGTGCTATATCACCTCCCTAATCAGACACTTTTCTCAGTAATGCTATTTAACTTTACAGTAGAAAGTTTACCATCAATTTCAACTGTCTGGCACTTCAACAGGACCATTAACATCTGCCATTAATACACAGGACTTTAAAATTTTGTCTTTTAAAAGAAAAAGTGTGAAAGGGGCCTTTAAAAAGTGGTAGGGTTATATAATCATTTTCATGATGTCTTGCACTTCTCCATCCATTTGAAAGTGCACTTCAAATGTATTTGAATACACTAGTCACATTCCAATGCTATGCTTTGAGTTAGCTGAGGCAATAAACTGTTTAGTTTCTCCGAATTCCTTGATTATCAAAAGTTGATCCTCTAAAAATGTAATGTAAAGCATTACTCAGTTTTGCATTATAACCATACTAGACTAGAATTTAGTTTTAAGACACAAATGGCAGAATCATTTATGCCCTCATTGATTCTCTTCTGTCCCACAAAAGGCTTTTAGAAGGCAGCACAAAATGAGGAGAAATGCTCATTTCTGGAAGGAAGCAAGTCAGTGAAACTTGTGTAAAGTGTTTCCACTTATCTGTCTTCTTCCACAAAGAAACATTTCCACTAGTTTGAGGGGTTGTTCCACAAAGCACTATATCTTTCTTACATAAGTGGGTCCTGCTTGTTCGATGCAAGTGGCAGGAACCAATGCCTACAGAAAGGTACTTGTGAGAGTGTAAGAACAGTCCTGGATTTTACTGAATCAAAATCCATTTTTTCCAACGCTTGCTTCCAAATGGACAGGTTACTTACCTGAAACTGGTTATTTGAATTATCATCTCTGAAGTCACACTTATGGGTTGTGCATTTGAACAGAACAGACATTTGGAACATTCTGGAGCTAAACAGAGCTTTAAGTGGGAACCCTATCCACCTCCTCTATGCAAGTGTGGTTCCCATTTGTCTCTCAGTTTTGAGTCCACTGCATCAGAGGAAATAAAAAATATGAGGCATCGTAACATGGAGAGGATGGGTCAAGTGCATTCACAGGTGGACTCAAAGGGCTATAGTTACAGCTAAGCAACCTGTCATTCTTCATGGTCTCTGTAACTCATATATATGGGTGACTAGAGAGCAGGAAGATACACCAGAGGAGGGAGATATTGCACCAGGATCAAATAAAGATCTTCTCTGCCAATAGCTGCATCAGCATACGTTCGAGTATGCAACCAGTAGTATCTAAGCCCATGTCACCACTGCAGAGTTGTGAAAGTGTGGTACATACCTCTGAGGAAGGCAGCAGAGGAACCCCTTACATGTAGGGAAACTAGAAGGAGAGCTAGTTGATTGGTTCAAAGCACCCACTTGATGAGGCATTCTGAGGACACTGATTGACCATTCCAGGGAATGGAGTAGCATACAAAAACATGGGAAGAATTTCAATAGGATAATGTTCTAGAAATGTAGTATGAAAGTGCCCTAGGGTCTCTTACCGAATGACACCTAGGTAATGAATGGTCTTGGTAATGAGGAGGAGACCTCTTGTAGCAGGAGTAACTATTGGTCTGACATAGCATACTGTTAGCTATGGCAGAGAAAAACTCCAGAGGATACTGAAGAAGCATTGCAGGTACTGACAAAATCTGTATTTTCATGAGCATTGATTCTGGTGTGGGGGATAGAACAGTTCCAGCAAAAAGTGTTCCAGGGACCCACATTATAAAACCAAGCTTTTAGGAAGCTGTAGCTTCTTCAGGTTTGGAGTCTGTAACTGCCCCAGCACCTGAGATTCTGACCCAGTGTAGGGTAGCTGGACCATGGTGGAAATAGCCTTGGCCTCCATATTAGAGTCTATCCTACAAGCTATGTTCTTAG